TAACGAATGAGAGACTCCCACCTGGGCACACAGAAGACTGAACGACCTGGAAGGCACTGAACAGGCTGTGCTCTGGCACTACGAGATGCTGAGCTAACCTTAAGAAATGGGGCTACAAAGTGGAGTCCATGACATGCAAGTGTGGAGAAGAGCAAACCAAAGACCACCAACTATAATGCAGTTTGAGCTCTGCCACATGCACAATGGGGGACTTTCTCACGGCAACACCAGAGGCACTCCAAGTGGCCAGCTTCTGGTCAAAGGACATTTAGTATAATGCCAAGTTTAACTTTGTTTGTGTTTTTAACTACATTATATTTGTACCCTCAATTTGCTTCTGACACAATAAATAAATAACTCCCATAGAAGCCACATGTTCCTCACATGGGCCTGCAGCCAGCTGTCATTGCAAGCAGCAATGACAGCAGTGCCACAATTAGTACTGTGGGCTTTACTGGCAGGCTGTCTCCCATCTGGCCCATACCAGGAAACAGTTGCTCCAGGAAACAGTGCCCATGATGACCTGCCATTTTCCTATCTTAATCTGAGAGCCCTATTACTTTATTTATTTATTTATTTATTTATTTATTTATATTCTGCCCTTTTTCCAGTCTGGGACTTGCAGTGCCTGGCAAAAATTATACCAGCTGTAGGTTAAAACAAATGCTCCATACAACAGTTAAAAACATAACAAAACCACCAATAAAAATAAAAAGCTTTTTTTTTCATGTTAGGAGCGATTTGAGAAACTGCAAGTTGCTTCTGGTGTGAGAGAATTGGCCATCTGCAAGGACATTGTCCCAGGGGACGCCCAGATGTTTTGATGTTTTACCATCCTTATTGGAGGCTTCTCTCATGTCCCTGCAACAGGAAGCTGGAGCTGACAGAGGGAGCTCTTCCGTGCTCTCCCCGGATTCAAACCTGTGACCTGTCAGTCTTCAGTCCTGCCAGCACAAGGGTTTTAACCCACTGTTAAAACATCAAAAACATCTGGGTATCCAGGGGCTCCGAAAAGCAATTAACCACATGGTTGTTAGAATGAAATAGAAAGTATACTGCATTCTGAAAAGCCCCTTTTCCAGGAGCAGTCAGCCCTCAAAGGAGTGCTGAATCAGAAAAGACTTTATCTGTCTATAAAGGAATAAGATGGCAGAAACCTTGGGAAGTCTGACTTGGCCACGGTAGTCCACGCTCTGGTTACATCCCGCATAGATTACTGCAACGCGCTCTACGTGGGGTTGCCTTTGAAGATGGCCCGGAAGCTTCAAATGGTCCAGCGTGCAGCAGCCAGGTTGCTAACAGGAGCGGCGCTCAGGGAGCACACAACTCCTCTGCTGCATCAGCTCCACTGGCTGCCAGTTTGCTACCGGGCTCAATTCAAAGTGCTGGCTTTAGCCTATAAAGCCCTAAACGGTTCCGGCCCAACTTATCTATCTGAATGCATCTCTTCCTACAAACCCGCCAGGAACTTGAGATCATCGGAGGAGGCCCTGCTCTTGATCCCGCCTGCTTCGCGAGCACGTTTGGTGGGGACGAGAGACAGGGCCTTCTCTGTGGTGGCCCCTCGGCTGTGGAACTCCCTGCCTAGGGATATTAGATCAGCCCCCTCCCTCCTGACCTTTCGTAAGAGAGTGAAAACCTGGCTCTTCGAGCAGGCATTCGGAACCCCAGAATAGTCAAGCTTGAGATGGAGAATGACCCAGGAACGGCCAAGACGACGAAACAGATGAGGATTGGAATGAGAGGATATAGCTCTTTTTAAATTGTTATTGCACTGTCTTTTTTGTCTAAATGCACTTAATTGTTTTTGCTTTCGTATTGTATTGATGGCATCGAATTGTGCCAATATGTAGACCACCCTGAGTCGCCTGCGGGCTGATATGGGCAGGATATAAGTGATGTAAATAAATAAATAAATAAATAAATAAAACTAGTTTGAGCTATCTAGATAAGAAATTCCAAAATCTGGGAACAGTCACCAAAAGGGACCCCCCCTCCTTTTTTTGCTAGATGTATCTTTAAGGATATTTTTAGAGGGGTCTAACTGGAACAGTAGTTCCTAACCTGTGGTCCATGGAACACCAGTGGTCCACAAGAACTAAAGTATGGTCTGTGACCTCACCGTTACTACACCGTTGCAACGGGAATGACTGGTCTCACGAAACCCTCTTATAGTGCCGAGACTTATTAAATATGGTTTTCTGTGAGAGAAAGGGGCGGCTCAACCCATTACGCAAAGTAAGCATTTGCAGTATAGTTGATTTTGCCCAGGGGCGCTCTTGAGGTACTCTTGGGGGAAAATAGACCTTGACATATGCGAGTTGTAGTTACTGGGATGTATAGTTCACCTACAATCAAAGAGCATTCTGAACTCCACCAATGATGGAATTGAACCAAATATGGCACACAGACCTCCCACGACAAACAGAAAATATATATCAATGATTGGTTTGGGGGGGGGGGCGGACTTTTTTCTGTTCTAGTTTAGTAAATATGGTTTTCTGTGGGTGAGCAAATGGTGACTACTGGATGGCATATGTTCTGTATCAGAAACTAGAGCTGATGTGGTGTATCCAATGCAATTTTCTGAATCAGCACCCCAAATAACCAAACTGAATCTAAAGTTGTCCAAAAACTGATTTGTAATCCTTTTGGTACTAATGTTGGAGAGCCGTCCCTTGTCATAGTGGTCCCTTGTCAAAAAAAAAAAAAAAAAAGGTTGGGAGCCACTGAACTAGAAGATCTTTAAAATGGCTAGGTTCATATAGGAGAATTTAGTTCTTCACACAACCTGAACTTGAGCTGTATAGAGCTTTATAGGCAATAACCATCACAATTTCCCCTTCCTCCTTTTTGCAGTATCACTGGTTCACTAGAATGCACTAGTCCACTTCAGTTCCATTGGGAACACTTCCACTCCTCCCCAGACCTCTGGGAATGCTGACCTGATTTTGGACTTCTTCACTAGTCAACCATAGGTCAAGCAAGCTCCAAGTACAGAGCCATCAGTGAGAAATTGTGGGGTTACCTTTGTCATTGCATTAATTTGAACTTTTTCAAAGAGTTTTTTTCTGATGTGTTGTTGATTTTATTTTATTGTGTGTGTTTTAATCTGTATTTTCGCGCTTGTCCCTTTGTAAGCCACCCCGACTCCCTTTGGGGACATGGAGGCGGGGTATAAAAATAAAGTTGTTGTTATTATTATTATACTGACACAGAAACACAGTATGTTACAGCAAATGAGATCTATATGCTGGGTTTCGTATCAAAAAATCACAAGTCGAACACTTCTCAAGCGTCTGGGACTGTGTAATATATTTTCGAATGATACACACAGATCCAAGTAAGGTGGCCTTTTGCAGTTGACAGATAATGATTTTGTCAATGTTTATTGTTTCCAAATGCCGGCTGAGACCTTTTGGCACGGCACTCAGTGTGCCGATGAGCACTGGGACCACCTGTACTGGTTTATGCCAGAGCTTTTGCAGTTCAATTTTGAGGTCTTTATAACGGCTGAGTTTTTCTTGTTTTTCCTCAATGCGACTGTCACCTGGTGTGGTGACATCAATAATCCAAACTTTTTTTCTTTTCCACAATCATGATGTGTTTTGGACTCCAACTCCCACAATTCCTAACAGCCAGTAGGCTGTTAGAAATTGTGGGAGTTGAAGTCCAAAACACCTGGAGAGGCGAAGTTTGCCCATGCCTATGCTAGTGAGTCATGTCTTCCCAAACATGGATATCGCCAAACGGTGACAATTTCAGTTTACTTGTCTTCTTGGGTGGATGGAGACTTAATTTACTGTAGGAATCATTTATTTTTATTCAAAGTGCTGGCTTTAGCCTATTAAGCCCTAAACGGTTCTGGCCGAACTTATCTGTCCAAACTAATCTCCCCTTGTGAACCTTCAAGGACTTTAAGATCGTCTGGAGAGGCCCTGCTCTCGGTCCCGCCATCATCACAAGCACGGTTGGCGGGGACGAGAGACAGGGCCTTCTCAGTGGTGGCCCCTCGGCTATGGAACACCCTTCCTAGGGAGATCAGACTGGCTTTTTCGCTCCTAGCATTTCGGAAGAATCTTAAGACATGGCTATTTGAGCAGGCATTTGCGAATACTGAGTAACGGACATAAGAACGGAACAACTACATGACAGAACTGGACATTGTTTTAATGAGTATTTATTGAATTATGTTTTATTACAGTGTTATAATTTTATTGATGTTGATGTTTTATATTATAATTGTGTTCTTGGTGGCATTGAATTTTGCCTTGTAAACCGCCTCGAGTCACCGGAAGGCTGAGAGGGGCAATATACAAATATAGTAAATAAATAAATAAACAAATAAATAAATGTGTCTTTGTGGCAGTCCTGGGTATGTACAGAAATCTCCTCTTGTGCCACATTTCAAATGAATTAATTCCCTTCCAATCAACTTTTTTGCCCAGCTTTCACAGTACATAAATTCAAAAATATTAAACAGCAACCCACTTAAAAGATTAATTAAAAACTTAAGAAACAGCTGTCTTATTGCACATGCTTCAACTCATACCAACAAAAGTTGAATAACTATTTAATGAGAAAGTCTTTGCCAACTGGCAATACAAGGAATAGAAAGAAAAAGATAACTGTCTCAATACAAAAGTTGGCAGGCTGATATGGCAGAGGCTAGACATTAAAGGTGATTTTTTGGGGAGTGGGGTGAGCTCCCGCTGTCAGGTCCAGCTTCTGTCAACCTAGTAATTCGAAAACATGCAAGTGTGAGTAGATCAGTAGGTACCACTTCAGCAGGAATGTCATGGCGCTCCATTCAGTCATGCTGGCCACATGACCTAGGAGGTGTCTACAGACAATGCCAGCTCTTCAGCCTAGAAATGGAGATGAACACCGTCCTCCAGAGCCAGACAGTATTAGACTTAATATTAAAGGAAGCCTTTACCTTTACTTTCTTTACCATTTGGTACTTATCATATAACTTCTTTCTTTCTTCCTCTTCACAGTGACATTGTGCCACGGTGGCTGCGTGGAAGTAGAGTCAGAAACCGAAGCAGTGGCTGGTGAAACTTTCAGAATTCGGTGCATCTCATGTAAGAAGCGCAGTGAGACAGAGGCCGAGGCCTTCACCGACTGGTACTTCAAGCAGCAGGGGACAGAAGAGTTTGACCATGTGCGTGCTGTGGTAAAGGGGAAGCAAGCAGTGGTGTGCAGAGAGTAGGGGTAGTGGGTGGGAAGTAATGACCTTTCTTGTCTTGGCATCTCAGATGTGATTGACTCTGCGTTGTCTACCTCAAGCAGTAGATGATAGGGGATAGCATTATTAGGAGCCAGGACTCCTGAGCCCTCTGGCTATTCTTCTCCCAAGAGAGGAGTGGGCAACCAGAAGATGGCGGGTTGCACCCCTACATTCAGATAGTGTCTGAAAGAGGCAGGGATCAGAATTGCTCCACAGTAGCATTTAGCAGCTGGCGGGGACGAGAGACCGAGCCTTCTTGGCGGTGGCTCCCAACCTATGGAACACACTTCTGACTGATGTAAGATCTGCTCCCTCCCTCCTGGCTTTCCAAAAGAAATTAAAATCATTTGGGACCAGGCTTTCGGACAATAGATGCAAGCAGCACTTTAGAAGGACATTGACTGGAGCGGCGATACGGCTGATGAGATCGTTTTATGGTTTTAATGATTGCTTATGTATTGTTTTTAACTATGACTTATGTTCAATTGTTGTTTTATTATTGTAATTGTTATGTAGTGGCATTGTAACGGTGCCATTGTAAGCTATCCTGAGTCCCCCTTTGGGGGTTGAGAAGTGACGGGATAGACATACGGTAAATAAATAAATAAAATAATTATTTGGCCCCCGGTGGTGCAGTGGGTTGAACCCTTGTGCCGGCAGGACTGAAGACCAAAAGCTTGGAGGTTCAAATCCGAGAAGAGCATGGATGAGCACCCTCTGTCAGCTCCAGCTGCCCAGGCAGGGACATAAGAGAAGCCTCCCGCAGGATGGGAAACATCCAGGTGGCCCTTGAGCAATGTCCTTGCAAACAGCCAATTCTCTCACACCAGAAGCGACTTGCAGTTTCTCAAGTCGCTCCTGACACACACACATACACACACAAAATAATATTTAGCCTATTCCAGACTTTCTGAGTTTTTAAAATGTGCTTTTTTGGCTTGAAATGCTTTACAGTGTGCATTGGGAGGATGTGTTTTGTGGACACCCTGCCCTTAAATCAACTTTGAACTGCATTGCATAATTTGTGCAGAAACACCATGAGGCAGTGGCCAGTCACAGCTTTATCCTGTCCTTGCCCAGCAGCTGATGGGTGGATTTCCTTCCATTCTAACTTCTTCCAGGCACAGTTCCATCATGCTTTGGCCCTAATAGCTGATGAGTGGCCCTCATGGTATATTCTTAAGAAAATAGTGGTTGCAAGTGAGGTCATCATCCCTGCTAATCAAAGAATCAAAGTACTTTGAACCCTCATTCCACTGCCATCTGGTGCTGATGGTTAAAGAATATCAATCTTCCCCTTAGCTTATTTGCAAGATGCATATAATATAGGCATGCAAGAAGCTGCTGCCAATACATAAACTATGTAACTGAGACTACTACCCACTTAAAAAAAGGCTGTGTGTACATATTAATTGTGTTTTTGAGTCTTCTCCAAGCCTTAGAAAGGTTTTTTTTATTACCACTTTGTGAGTCCCTCAGCTTGTATGGCTGTAGCTGAGGGATTCTGGGAGCTGTAGTGCAAATGAGACTCAAGACCTCATCATACTAGAGAATGAATCCGCTTTAAATCTGGTTTCTGACTCCTCCAGAATTCTGGGGTTTGTAGTTTAGTGAGTCTGTTAAAGGCACCTCCTTAAACTACAAACCCCAGAATTCTGCAGGAGGCAGAAACCCGATTTAAAGTGGATTAATTTGGTAGTGTGATAAGGTCAATAGATCATAGAATCATAGAGTTGGAAGAGACCTCATGGGCCATCCACTCCAACCCCCTGACAAGAAGCAGGAAAACCACAATCAAAGCACCACTAACAGATGGCCATCCAGCCTCTGTTTAAAAGCCTCCTAAGAAGGAGCTCTATCGCAGTCTGGGGCAGAGAGTGCCACTACAGAACAGCTCTCACCGTTCGGAAGTTCTTCCTAATGTTCAGGTGGAATCTCCATTCCTGTAGTTCAAAGACATTGTTCTGCATCCTAGTCTCCAGAAAAGAGGCTCCCTCCCTCCTCCCTATGACTTCCCCTCATATATTTATATATGGCTCTCATCATGTCTCCTCTCAGCCTTCTTTTTTGCAGGCTAAACATGCCCATTTCTTGAAGCCACTCCTCATAGGGCTTGTTCTCCAGGCCCTTGATCATTTTAACTGCCCTCCTCTGGACACATTCCAGCTTATAGTTAACATCTCCCTTCAGTTGTGGTGCCCAGAATTGGACACAGTTTGATTTCAGGTGTGATCTAACCAAGGCGGAATAGAGGGGCAGCAAGACTTCCCTGGATCTAGACACTATACTCCTTAGTTATGCAGGCCAAATTCACATAGGCTATTGTGCCGCTGCATGACATTGTTTAACTTGTTGTCCATGATCATTTTCTCACGTCCTGCTGTCGAGTCAGGCATCGTCCCCCATTCTGTATTTTTGCATTTCATTTTTTTTCTCCCTAAGTGGAGTATCTCGCATTTGTCCCTGTTGAACTTCACTTTGTTAGTTTTGGCTAATTGTCTCTCTAATCTATTCTGAATTCTAACAAATTCTGAAATTTGAATTTGTGCTCTGGAAGGTGGTTGTTCCCTGGTGGCTCAGCGGATTAAACCACTGAGCTGCTGAACTTGCTAACAGAAAGGTTGGCAGTTTGAATCTGGGGAGTGGGGTGAGTTCCTGCTGTTAGCCCCGCCTTCTGCCAACCTAGCAGTTCGAAAACATGCAGGTGTGAGTAGATCAATAAGTACTGCTTTTGCAGGGTGGTAATGGTGCTCCATGCAGTCATACTGGCCAGATGACCTTGGAAGTGTCTACAGACAACGCTGGCTCTTTGGTTTAGAAATTGAGATGAGCACCATCCTCAGAGTCTGGCACGACTAGACTTAATGTCCTCATAGTGCTTGTTCTCCAGACCCTTGATCATTTTAGTTGCCCTCCCCTCAGCCTTCTCTTCTGCAGGCTAAACATGCCCATTTCTTTAAGCCACTCCTCATAGTGTTTGTTCTCCAGACCCTTGATCATTTTAGTCACAATTGAAGGGAGATGTTCCAGCTTGTCAACATCTCCCTTCAATTGCAGTGCCCAGAATTGGACAGTGTGATTCCATGTGTGGTCTGACCAAGGCAGAATAGAGGGGTAACATCATTTCCCTGGATCTAGACACTAGACTCCTATACGTGCTTTGAAGAATTAATTTTAATGGCCAATCGAATTATCATTCTGAATAAAAAGGTGCAAATGAATTGCTCATTTAGGGCTTCAGGAAATTAGTACTGGGAGTTACTCATTGTAGATCTAATTAATAAATAGGATGAATACGCACCTGATTGCATTTTTACCACTCCCACAGTTAAAGCCATCCCTGGAGAAAACAAGCTTCTCCCAGCACTCTGCAGGAAGAGCTCTATTACATTCCTTTAAAAATGGCCTTGCAGCTTACCAGTTCCCAGGTACTGTGTGTTCCAGACAGCTGTTCCTGGGACTATTTTTGCTAACTGCATAAATGAATAACCATTTAGGAAGCACCTGAAAAGAGAGAGAAACAGAGGAGGGGGGGGGGGTTACAGAGGCCCTATTTACACTGCTATATAATGCAGATGGAATTACATTGAACTGGATTTTTTTTTTATCGTGTCAGAAGCGACTTGAGAAATTGCAAGTCGCTTCTGGGGTGAGAGAACTGGTTGTCTGCAGAGACATTGCCCAGGGGAGGCCTTGTTGTGTTACCATCCTGTGGGAGGCTTCCCTCATGTCCTTGTATGGGAAGCTGGAGTTGACAGATGGGAGCTCACCCTGTCTCACGGATTTGAGCACCTGACCTTTAGGTCAGCAGTTCAGTCGGCACAAGGATTTACCCCATTGTGCCACCACAGCTCCTTATATTGAACTGTATTATAGGATTCTACACTGCCATATACTCCCATTCAATCTGGGATCAGATATTTATTTATTTACAGTATTTATATTCCACCTTTCTCTCCCCGCAGGGGATTCAGGGCGGATTACAACGCACATGGCAAACATTCAATACCAGTTAGACATGCAACATATATAGACAGACAAAAAGGCAATTTAACATTCCTGGATAGTGGATTATATGGCAGTGTAGATCCAGCCTGAGACTCCTTGAATCAATGACACATAAGTATTGACCTTACATAAATGGTTTTTGCTGGAACAATGACTCTCCTCTGATTCCACCTACACTGTTGGTGGCGCAGTGGGTTAAACTCTTGTGCCGGCAGGACTGAAGACCGACAGGTTGCAGGTTTGAATCCGGGGAGAGCGTGGATGAGCTCCCTCTATCAGCTTCAGCTCTCTAAGCGGGGACATGAGAGAAGCTTCCCACAAAGATGGTAAAACATTAAAAATAAAACATCTGGGCCTCCCCGGGTAACGTCCATGCAAACGGCCAATTCTCTCACACCAGAAGCGACTTGCAGTTTCTCAAGTTGCTCCTGAAACAAACAAAAAAACCCTACACTGTCATAATCTAGATTATATGGCAGTGTAGCTCTATCTTTTGTCTAGATTTAGCAAGTTGTTGTAGGCCTGTTTTTCCTAGCCTTAACTTCAGTCTCATCCTATCTCTGCACCAGATTCTCCACTACGATGCCGATAATAAACTCAAAGTGTTGGACCCCCGCTTTGAAGAGCTGGTTGCCTGGGAAGGCACTAAACACACGCCAGATTTGCAGGAGCTTTCCATTATGCTGCTGAATGTGACCTTCGACCAGGAGGGAGACTATATCTGCAGTGTCAACCGCACACTCCTTTTCGCAAATGACCATACACACAATGTCATGGTCAACAAAACTGTCCACCTTGACGTGGTAGAGAAAGGTAAGTGTGAAAACAATGGAGCTGTGGATGAAAGAGCTGGAATGGGAAGAGAGGAATATGGGCTTGGCAGGTAGTGGACCAATGTAAAATATGTCTTCCAGATTTTGCCTTATTGTAATGTCCAATAGTCTTCACTATTAACTGTGCTGAGTAGGGATGCTGAGACTTGCAATCCAGTGATGCATAGAAACATTATGATTCCCATCCGTGGTCTGTATCATCCAGCATCTTGCTACCGTAGTGAATAACTAGATGTCTATTAGAAGCCCACAAGTTTGTGTTGGATTAATTTGCAAATTAATCAATTTAGGTTTTAATTGATTTTTTAGTGGCAGCTAATTGTATCTGGTGGAGGATTCTGGACATGCTTTGATATACATCTGAAATTATTTTGGTTCTGTCTATTCCTGTAAAAAGGGATACCTGATACCGGACTTGTTCCATCTTACAGTTTGAAATTAACACACCTTTCTCTTAGGCTCCTTCATTGCCATATGAAATCCTAATTATCTACTTTGAACTGGATTATATAGAAATGTAGACTCATATAATCCGGTTCAAAGCAGCTAATCTGGATTATATGGCAGTGTAGATCCAGCCAAAGTCTCTAGAATTCAGCAAGGCACTAAAGGAATGCAGATGCAGGGTTTTTGCAGAAGTTTTAGACTGCAACTCTTATTATAACCTCTAGTTAGCACACTCAGGTTATGACCACTGTGGTCAAAATCATTTGGTATGCACCAGCAGCATGATTTCACTGTAATTGCCATGGCAACATCCTGGGATTTATGGTTTAGGGAGGGGCATTTAGAGCCAGAGAGCACTAGTAGCTCACTAAAGGGATGAGCCTTGATCATATAGGGCGTTGCCGTGGGAGTTAGAGTCGGAGTTATGGTGTTATAATTGTGTGCTTCAGATACATGGTACAAACAGTGCCTTGCTGTAGCCTGTGGCTTAATAATAATAATGATGATGATAATAATAATAATAATAATGATAGGCACACTGGGTGCAGTGCCTAAAGAACTTGACCTGCACTTAAGCACAATCGCCCCTGACAAAATTACCATCTGCCAGCTGCAGAAGGCCATCTTACTAGGATCTGCACACATTATTTGCTGATGCATCACACAGTCTTAGACACTTGAGAAGTGTCCGACGTGTGATCCAATACAACAGCCAGTGGAGTGATCTTGTCTGCTGTGGACTCATCTTGTTGTGCTTCAAATAATAATAATAATAATAATAATAATAATAATAATAATAATAATAATAATTTATGTATATATCCCCCACCATCCCCCAAAAAGGACCCAGGGCGGCTTACAGAAGCACATACAAGTGCCATAAATATATGTGATTAATGTCCCTGTCTCCTAGCATCAGCCATACCATACAATGTTGGAAATAGCAACTTTCCCAGCCTCCACCAATTGTTTGTAAATGTATAGAATGGTTAACCTATATTGTATGACCAATTTGGTTTGCCAGTTTGACTGTCCCTCTTTGGTGTGGGAGGGGCTTGAGACACAAGACTCCATTTTTGTTATACAGTATGCTTTTAGATCTCAATGGAGGTGGAATGCAGTTTGTCTCCTTTCAGACTTCAGTTTGGACTAAAACTATACGTAAAGATATTGGACTATGGACTAGTATGCTGAATGTATACAAGTCGTTTATGAGTATACAAGAGACTTTATTTTTCAAAGGAGACTTTTTTCTTTGAGTGCATATTTTAACTAAGAGGTTTTCAGGGAGTGTATATATTTTGGGCAAGTACAACCTCAAATTCTACTTCAAAGAAACAACCATCCTCTGCTAACGAAATATATTTTTATAGTGGCATGTCTTTATCCTTGGCAGTTTAAAGACA